CCCCCACCGGCGGCCAAGCGGTGACAGCCCAGCTCATCGTCATGAGCGTGTGAGCTGCTGGTAAGGGGAGAAGCAGCGCGCACGGCTGCAGGGAATCTCACGGAAAAAACCGAGCTGGAACGCACACAGAAAATGCTGAGGCAGCCACGCCAGAAGCGTCTCGAAGCAGTGACCTGTCAGAGGAACTCCAGTCAAAGGCTTTCTGCCAATTGCATTGGTATCCATGCATCAGCATGGACCTGAGTCTCAGGTGTAGGATCTTCCTCACGTTTCACGTGTGCACCCAAGGCACTAATCCCCAATGCGCGTAAAGAAAGCTGAAGACGACGCTAAGGGGAAGGAGCGGAAGCTGCCAAAGCAGGTGTGGGACTGCAACTTGATGACAAGTCAAACCAAAGTCACGAATGAACGGATCTGCGAAGCCTTCAAACCACATGCTGCACTGCAGACTGAACAATAACGTGTGAATCATCTGCCTCTGGTCATCCTGGTTGACGGTGAAGAAGTGGTCGTCAACAATGCCAAGGTTCCCTGGCATGATGGCTGGGCAAAGAGGAAGACCTACGAGCTAGTGGGCTGCAAAGTAGCAAATAGCGCACGCATAGCCATAAGAAGGCTCTATTTGCGTCGTAAAGGTTCATGCGCGATATGAATATTGCAAAGGCTTGTGGGGTGCGTGAAACTTCTTGCAAGTCTATGCGTCACTGCTGTTGAGTAGATATTTTGGTAGTTGGCCCAAGTTGTATGGAGACTTCTGCAATGTCACTGTGAGCACCGACAGGTAAGCCACGGAAAATGCACAGTCTGTTGGCGCAGGCGCTCTGAGGGTGACATGTGCTTCGCTCTAGATGTAGTTAAGAACCACTATGCTGTTCATTTTCTAATCGCCTCTCCTACAGAAACATGCAACAAAGTAGCACGAGGTGACACACAGCAGGCACTGCGCATGTTTTAGTGTGCTCTGGCCGTTCAGCTCGCGACTAGCCCTTGTATATGGAAGAGACTCCCCGACACTATGTCTAGTACTTGTTGTGCTTCCGCAAAACGACGTCCACACAGGATTTGTAAGGAAGAATTCATGGTATGAGACATGCAGTTGGTTACCATGTGAACATCTAGGTGACACCCTGCGTCGGGGAGACTCTCACTGCGTTGTCCGCTCCGGAGACACGGCAAAGTCGCCAGTTCTCAGCTTCCAGCTCCACAGATTGCTCCGCGTACTAAAGTTGTACTACAAAGTCACCAGTTCTCAGCTTCCAGCTCCCCAGCTACTCCGCGTACTACAGTTGTACTACAAAGTCGCCAGTGCTCATCTTCCAGCTCCCCAGATACTCCGCGCCCTCAAGTTGTACTACCCACTCGCCAGTTCTCATCTTCCCGCTCCCCAGCTACTCCGCGTACTACAGTCGTACTACCACGTCGCCAGTTCTCAGCTTCCAGCTCCCCAGCTACTCTGCGTACTAAAGTTGTACTACCAAGTCGCCAGTTCTCATCTTCCCACTCCCCAGCTACTCCGCGTACTACAGTCGCACTACCACGTCGCCAGTTCTCAGCTTCCAGCTCCCCAGCTCCTCCGCGTACTACAGTTGTACTACAAAGTCGCCAGTTCTCAGCTTCCAGCTCCACAGCTTCCTCCGCTCGCATCGCACTCTCGCCTGCGTTTCGCGCACTCGACACGCACGATCTCCGCAGAGGGTCGCGCGGTGATTTCACAAATCGCGCTCTCGCCTGCATTTCGCGCACTCGACCCGCACGATCTCCGCAGAGGGTTGCGCGGGCAGCCGGCAAATCGCACTCTCGCCTGCATTTCGCGCACTCGACACGCACGATCTCCGCAGAAGGTTGCGCGGGCAGCCAGCAAGTCGCACTCTCGCCTGCATTTCGCGCACTCGACACGCACGATCTCCGCAGAGGGTTGCACTTTCGGTTGACGCTGTTCGTCCCGCCCTCCGCCTTTAAGAGAGAATTTATAAAGTGGGGAAATGTTTTTTCATTAGGACATCTCCCGTGCTAGTTTTCCAATACTCACACTTGCCTACTCATTGCATGCTTGCATGCTCATTGCATGCTTGCGTACCCATCACTTGCATACTTACACTGCGCGCTTGCCGAGTGTCAGTGTGTATGTGTAAGTGTCAGTGTCGAAGTGTCAGTGTATGTAGTGCGAATGTGGTGGAAGTGTCAGTGTGTAAGTGTACGTGTCGAAGTGTCAGTGTTCAAGGGATTTTCCGGAAGAACCCTTCGCAATGCTTTCGGGAAAAACCATGCTAAACATCTTCTAAGAAGAAAAATGCCCACCCATGTCCATCGTCCAACAAGGACAAACACAAACTGGTCACAACAGGCCCTAGCGACGGTGGCTGAAGGTCCCATATAAATCTGGATCGTGGCAGTTCGTACGGACTGCAAGGCAAAAATGGACAAAGGGACTCGTACAGAGACCCGACATGAGGGGTTCCATCCAGATCCATCGGATTCCACCGAAAGCACCCGCACATCCTGGATGCGGGTCGCTCCTCCCAGTAAGCGATGCTGTTCCACACCTGCTTCCAGTCAGTGTCACTGTGTCAGCTGGGTATGTCAGTAGAGTTTAGCAGAGTCAACCTCCCATGCTGTTTGTAGGCTTCAGAATCTTCAGACCGGTTGTTTCCTTCTGTTTGTCTTCAAAACCTGTAACCTGTGCCGCACCGATTGATCGCCATTACCATGCAGGTTCGTAGAATCGGGTGCCCCCACCATGCCTTTTAATCTAACAACTTCAAAGGAGAACAATGGCATATCAAATAATAACATTGCATGTCCCAAAGCATGCCCAAAGTCGATTTGGATGCCTAAAAGACTGCCGTGTGCCCAGCAGCAAACCCTTACTTCCCTTGGAGAGCCTACGAGGGAGCAGCTGTGAGACTGCGTATCTTTTACCAGTTCGACTGTCAGCGTGTCATCGATGTAGACCTGTCCGAAGAAGTCCTGGAGGATGGCTCGATGCCCAAAACGGGAATTGATCGCTTGCACATGAACTACCCTGACTTGGGGCCTAAGCCACTGAATCATACTGAATCTGCTCTCAAAATTTCAGCCATAAGGAATGCAATGAATCAAAGAACATCAAAGGACATACAATGTCCTTCAAGGTCGCCTCAAAGCTCAGTGCCATTCCAGGGAAACCTTGCAATGCCAATCCATCTGGCAGAACGGTGCAGTTGCCTCACGGGCTGGGCATCAGCAGGCAGTGTACAATCTACTATTACTAGGACTAGGAGCAAAGGGCATCGCTGATAGGAGCAAGGACGCTACTAGGGGCTCCTGGCATCGCTACTAGGAGTATTCTTACTACTAGTAACAAGAAGCTACTAGGAGCTGTGCAATCAACATCAATCAACTGGTCACCCCGATTGTCCCCCCATGATGTTCCCTCCCCTTGACTGGCGTCCCTGAATAAGTGATACTCGCTTACTACGAAAGTGATGAATCAAGAATATAGCCCTAGTGACTACCCTAGTGTATCTCACCAAGAGCTGCGGCAAAGGTTTCCGACGAAACTTGCCCCGTTGAATTGGCCTTCCGTGCAAGCTGCTTCAATAACCACCTGCTAGCTCACGTCACGCTCAGGAGAACATGTATAGATTCTATAGGAACATAACACTAAACACCAAAAATAGCACCTTAAAAAATGTCTCTTGAGGGACCGAAAGGAAAATTGTAGAAAATGCCTTACTCTTCCTCCAGGTCGCAGGGCTTGTTGCCTGCAAGTTGCCCAGCGTTGCGATGTTTCCAGTGACCGAAGCTCCAAAGTCCGACCAAGACCAGGCTGAAGCTTGGGACGCGTTCCACAAGTTTGACTCTGTGACGGGCACACGGCAACTTGGAAAGCCGTTGAAGAAAACCACTGCACCCAGTCTGGCGCGGTTCCGGTGGAAGCTCACATCCACAAACAGGGCCTGCTCCTAGCGCGAGCACAAGTCTCGCTCGCTCTCGTCGCGCCCCCCCCCCCCCTCTCTCTCTCTCTCTCCCTCTCTCTCTCTCTCTGTGCATGTACAATGTATACCTACACCAAAGATTGAAACCCAATTATGCTCCTCGCACTCCAAACCACCAAGATTCCAGGCACCACCATAGCCCAAGACCGCAAGATTATCCTCAAAAGAGCTACTAGTCACCGTCAAACTGCTGCAGCGCGAGTGGAGACCAGCTCCATTGCCATACGCTGTGTTCCGGAGGACACTGCTGTTCACCAAGCTCAGGGCGACCTCTTGGGTTTGCAGCAATGTTGGCGACAGGAATAACAACAGCAGCCGGCGCAACAACAACGACCACTACTAATTATATAAGCTACTATATAGTACCACGACGACCACCGCGACGACGACCACCACCACCACCACCAACCACCGCGACCGCGACCACTAGCACTACCACTACCACTACCACCACCACCACCACTACAACTACTGCTGCTACTACTGCTACTGCTACTGCTACTGCTACTGCTACTGCTACTACTACTACTACTACTACTACTCCTACTCGTAGTCCTACTCCTTCTACTACTCCTACTCCTACTCCTACTCCTACTCCTACTCCTACTCCTACTCCCTCCTACTACTACTACTACCACTACTACTACTACGACGACGACGACTACTACTACTACTACTTACTTCTACTTCTACTTCTACTTCGACTGCTACATCCACTACATCCACAACATTTACTACTACATACTACTTCCTCTGCACTCACCACTGCCTACCTCTACCTACAGTAGTTCCATCAGTTATATATAATATCTTGTATATAGTGAACTACGCGCACCTTTACATTTCCCTAAATGCCAAGTTCAACAATAAGAAGCCTCGACTCTACTCTGCTGCCACTACTAAAATTATAGATTTCCGAGTGCCCGCTGCCCCATATTGTTTCAAAACGTCTTTCTACTTGTCTTTGTGGCTACCATAACCATCCAGAAGCAGTAGCAGCAGTCAGTACTAGCATCCTCAGGCCTGCTCTCCCGAAGCTTCACTGCAAGCAATTGCGCCGCCATTTGAGTTCGCGTGGTTGGACTCCATGATGGTCTCAATTAAACTGATGCTTGCTGGGGCGTCTTCCTGAAGCTGAACCTCAATGGCCCCGCCCTCTGCACCAGCGGTGTTGGCGCTGAAGGTCACATTCCTCCAGGCTGGAGCCGCAGGCGCCGCAGGTTGAGACAAACCCAACAGCCCGGGGATTGTCAAAGCTACCAGCTATTCAGGCATTAACCCCCCCAAAACAATTACTAGGCTGTAGGTCCATGAGTACCATCCTGATAGACACCGTGAAGCCACCCCGAAGATGTAGGCCTCCTCCTGATTCCAAGGCCTGATTGCTCTCAAAAATGGCATCCTCAATGATCACGTGATGCACCAAATTCCCTGAGGTGCCAACCTGGTTCATGGATGGTCCAAATTCTGTCAGTCAATTCGGATAAACCCCTCAGTCATAGGCCTCATGGGGTTTGAACATAAGAACATGTTCCAAATCACCACCCAGCAGCATTCAAGTATACAGCTCCTCCTTGATAAGCCCGATTTCGCAGAAAGCGTACTCGCCGAAAGATTGAAGGCTGCATTGTTGCAGCATCGGTGTACCTGCAACGGTTGCAACGATTGAGGTGTCAGCCGCTCACAGCCCAACAAATGGACCGGCCATGAAAACGGCCGCTCACACTATTGTCGCAGGGTGGTGTGGGTCTCTCGTCCTCAGCCAAGCATCAATGCCAAACCTCCACCTTTGAGGCATCCAGAGTTGTCTTCAAAGTCCACATCTTCCATTGTCAAATACCCAGAATTGGCCTGCGGCTTGGCGTTGCAACAAGTCGCCTTATCGAAATTACATGTTCATGTAAGAGTTGAACGAAGGAGCACAGTGATGAACAATAACAAACAGAATCAGGCATCTGAGGCTTTACTTGGCTGAGGCTATCGTCTGGAGCTGTCCGGCTGTGACATCCCAAGAGTCGGCGAACTGACCGAGGACAATGCCGAGACGATGCCTGCATCGCACACCCAATGCCCTTGCCAAAAATTGAGTTTTGAGTGAAGCGGCTGCTCGTGAAGCGCAAGCGCGCAGCATAGCTTCGCACTGCTCCAGCTTCAGAACGTGCCTTGGTGTCTCTGAAATGCACAACGATGACCTCAACATGGCATGACAAGTTACAGTAGTAGTTTAGCGTGTCATTTCTTGTATCCAAAATCTCGAACACCTTCAACGAACACCTTGCGGCTCAAGGCTTCGCAGCATTGACAACTCTTGCGGGTTGTGCTATGTTGTGCTCACCAAGCACTCATGGGAAGGCAGAAATCTGCCTTTGAAAACAAAGGTCAGAGGTCCAAGCGGCTGTATTGTTAAAAAATGTGACGTTCGTGAACTCCGGCTTGGTGTCCGCAGTCAGGTAGACAGCGCCACCAGATGAACTTGAAAATCCGTTGCGAAAAATGGTGTTCATGAACCGGCTTTGTGAAGAGCCATAACCGTAGTAGCCAGCGCCATGGACAGATGCCCCGTACTCAAAAATGCAGTCAGTAAACAAGGGCGATGCTATTCCTCCATCGTCCAGGATGCCACCATAATCACTCTGACCATGAGAGAAGCGGCACCGATGAAACTCGGTCATGGATGATTCCTCAATGAGCATCGTACCACCCCATGCAGTGCCAACATGGCGTTCAAACACGCTATCTGTGATGATCGACCTGTCTGCACCCCAGGCTGCCACCGCCGCCCCATGATTGGCAATACAATCAGTCACTATGACATTCTGAATCGATGCCACGGAGTCCTTCAAATACATTGCCCCTCCATTAAAGATTTGAGGCGAGATGGCAGGTGAGCTGCAATCCATGGAGGTCAAAGCCAGATGGCGCAAAGTGGCCGAGGAGCCAACCAAAGCAAAGCCGGCACCCACTTGGCCTCCCTCCACCACCCCTGCGCAATTCCCACCCATCACACTCAATGTCTGGATGGTCACGTCTCCCGCAACGGCATCCAAGAGCATGAAGCGCCCAAGCGACTGCAAATCAACAATGGTTTCAGCGGTGCTGCTACCTGCGCAACTTTCTTCCAGCTTCGAAGACTCAACATCTCACAACACTGACACAAACTGACTCAACTGCAGAGAGTCAGTCAAGATTGGTGAAGCATTTGCAGTAACTTCCCAAACCTCAAACATTGCCTAGAAGGAGTTTCTCGGCCTACCTGACCTTTAGTCCATTAGAGTCTAAAGTTTAAAGTCGTTTCGGTAGACAGAGACGTCCCTTGCCTTCGATGGTGAAATTGCCCTTGCCCATGCTTGACGGGTTTAAGTTGCGGTTGAGGCTTCCGGCAAAAATGCCGCTTCCCATGCGGATGATGTCCCCCTCTTCAACCTGGCTGATCGCATACTGCAGGCTGGCACAGGGTTGCGAACAGTCGCCCACATCAGCGCCAGCAGACTCGATCAGCAAAACCCTTGAGGTTGCGAGCCTGCAAGCGCCAAGCGCAAGGAGCACGTGAAGCACGTGCCACATGCCATGGGCGGAGCACGTCACTCTGAGCACGTCATGAGTCACATGCCTTGGGCATTCTGGAGTCGGTAAGCCGAAAGGTTCATCGGTTGCACAAGCGACGGAAAGCAACTCCGTGGCATGCCTGTCTCACACCGAAAGCCCACCGGAAACCCCATGATTCTTCGCCCCAGGCTCTACAAAGGTTCCTTAAGGCCTTGCCCGATTCCCTGGACCGTTTCGCGTTCTGAGCCGTCACGTTCCGAGCCGCCGAACTCCCGCGAGGCCATGGAGAGATACGCACGCGGCCTCGATCCAATCCGGAACGACCAAAAGCAGGGGAGGTGTGGTGTAGCCATTACAAGCCTACACGCAACTACTAGTAACCTCTTGTGCTTCATCACGATGGTGCTCGAAGCTGAGGGCCAAACCACAAGCAGCTTGGCATTGCGTTCGTTCAGCGGCGGGTACGTGTTTTGACTTTCGTTCAGCGGGTGCTTAACGTGCAATTTGAACGTCCAAAGGTCCCGTACACGTGGGAATTCTCCTCGTCACGCTGTGTACATCAGGGTGTTTTGGTGGTGCTGGTGTCTGAGAAGTGGTGGGCTGCTTTGTCAAACAAACAACTGCACATTGCTTGAGCAGCTCAGAAGTGAGCAACAAACATGAGCTGTGTCCAGAAAACTCATTGAGGTCAAGTCTGGCCCATGTCAGCTCAGGTGTTCATGTATCATGTAGCAGGGTCAAAGTGAACAGAAGCGCCAATCCCGGCCAATCCCAGTTTTACGGAAAGTTCCGTCACCTTGAGGAATCTCGTCACAGCGACCAGCTATGTAAAAAGAAAATGGCATCAAAAAAGTATTAAAAGAGTCAGAAGACTATTTGCGCCCGCAGCGCATGCGCGCGGTCAGAAGACAAACTGGATCTGCCAAAATCCATGACCGCAGCTGCTTGAAAACCCAACATGTTTGAAGAGGCTTGGTTTGAAGTTGAGCAGGGCATGTATGCTGCATGTGGGCCGTCCAGTGCCCCAGTTACAGTACCAAACACAGCCGCGAGAAGTGGATGTGGTTCCTCCAATTGGCATGCTGCCTCAGGCAGTAGGCCTCCTCCTGCAACCAGGGGCGTGTTTTGGTTCGCGAAGGTCAGTAGGCGGCATGTCTTCGTGTAACAGCGATGAACCACGATGAAATAACAGTTTTCTTTTTCTCAGATAGCCTGTTAGCCAATGAGCTTGGGCACCTGAGTCTTCCCCGAGTTGAACCCTATGACCCCATGCGACGTAGTCTCCGAGTCCCCTCAAGATCCGCTTCAAAGAAAGGACCTGACCTGCGCCGCCAGCGCGTTTTCTGTGCCGTTCACAGGTTCTTTTGGCCGTCGTCGGCCATCTGCATCGGCCCCAGCGGGAAGCGTCTCTCAACCTCAGCGACGTTGAAGTCCAAACTAATGGCGATGGCCTCCAACCTAAGAGCGACGGCCTCCATTCCACCCTATCACGGCCATCCTCACCCTCCAGGAAGCTGGAGTGGAACATCTGCACATCTGCCAGGACACCGGCGGATTTCCAAGCCCATCAAACGTGATCCTCACAACCATGTGTTGCGGAACCTGGCGCCAGTTCTGGAGGTCATGTGCGAGTGGATGGGTGATCGAAACCGCACACATTTGCCTTACCTGGTTCGCTTCCTGCCTGTGTCTCAATGGCATCTTCCCTGTTCAAGTGCATGAGCCAGCCATACATCATCCGCAGCACGGCCTTTCGCGAAGAGCGAAAGTTTCTACAAGTCAGAGCTACCACAGTGCGCCCTGCAATAGATGCACTTCTTCTCCCAAGCTGAGAAAGGGAGAGGAATCCAGATTCCGGCTCACCCCGATGTTGGTCTGGAAAAGATATCTATATTACATAAAGAAGTTAATAGTGTTGCGTAATTCTACATATGTATGTATACACAAAGGTAAGAGGGGGCGTGGTTGTTTTGCTTCATCATCCACGTGGCTTCTAGTCAGCGCCACACCTGATGCGAAATAATCATGATGGGCTGCTGGATCCGCTCCAAATGCGACATGACGGACTCCAACCTCATCCATCGAGCTGGAACACTGGATTCAAATCTGCAAGCTGCAAAGTCAGGCAAACCAAGCAGAACAGTGAACACTCTCATTATCTCAAAACCCTTTTGGCCTCAACTTGCAGCCCAGGGCACCTTGCAATCACATCCTTGTTTTTGCTGGATGAGAGTTCCGGACACACGGTCAGCATGTGACAAATCGAGAAAGGACTGGAAGAACTGGAGTTTCACATGATTTTGACACGTGAAGACATGTGCATCCTGCTTCCACCACACTGAAGCTAACATAAGCTAACTGCGTTGGACATATGCTGATGTGAGGTTGGATTTGCAGTCTGGCATCGTAGTAGGACTCACCTCGAGGATACCGGAAACCAAGCTTGTCCCGTTTTCCTTGGTGCCAATCCACTCTGCTGTCTTGTAAGCCAACAAAACGGGTGTCGTTGTTCTAGCCCTCCGTTTAGTCGCATGCATGATGGGCAACAGGTATGATCTCAATGGCTCACAGACTCACAGGGGAAGAATCTTGGACAAAATCACTGTCAAGACGCTATCCTCAATAACATCTGGCGCTCGCTGCTGTATCTCCTCAAGCGAATGAGATTAAGACCTAGAGAAATGGGTCCTTGCACGCTCCGAAGAAATCAATAGTGCTTGGGATCGGGGGGCTGTCGATCATTTCTTCATTCTCTGTCAGATTAAACAGAATCTACTGTAAAAATATCTAAAAATATCTATATAAAACATGTTACTCCTACAGTCGTATCAGTCTTAAATGGGATGCATCTATCCAGAAACTTGGTATCCATTCATCTCCTTCAAGTTCTTCGATTTCGTCAATGTTGCGATTGGACACGCGACTGTCGAACAAATCCGGAGACCGTAAGCCTTACGGCGTAAGGGTCCACTAAAGGGAGTTCGGAAAAGGTCTAGTGAGTCCAGTGAAAGTAAGTGAGCTTCCAAATCCTCCGTTGCGTTGGAAAGCCACCCCAAACCGCCAAGAAGCCCGTGAAAGTCCACGCTGCCTGCTTTATTATGGACAGCCCCGGCCCCATCCGGCTCCCACAAAACAAAAGTGTCTCACCAAAATCCGCCGGGGGGGGGGGGCGAGAACTCCTAAACCCAACAAAAGCACCACCATGGCGCACCAGCTGGAGCTGTTCTGCTGGACCCGTTCTCGGGAGCACTTCGAGGATATGGACACCGCCACCGGCGGACGCGGAGTCGGACGCACCGACTTAATGGGGACTTGATGGCACGGGGGTTCGTGAAAAAGGGCACTAAGAATGGTAGGAAGCTGCACAAGGAGTAACGTCGATGAATTGGGTCTTGGTGAGCGCGGCCGATCTTAGTCCAAGCCTTCCAAGTCGGACCGGCGAATGGCACAGTGGGAACACTGCTTGAAACAAGACTTGAAGAAGGTTTCTATTGTATAGTCAGATGTAGTCAAATGCTTTCATCCTCTTTTGGCAAAACACCGAAATCTGTTGCCCTTCGGCGATTCGGAGGGAATTCGATCGAATGCTCATCCATCGGATCCTTCTCGGTCAAACCATCGTACTCACCCGCGTAGACTTCATCCATGTTCCTGTCCATCCGGAGTTCAGCTGTGCACTACACCAGCTCCACCCCTCAAACACGCCTGAACTGGCGCCCCCGCATTTGGAAGAAGGTCTTGCCATCAGGACCTGCCGGTCTTGGTCAGAGTTGCAAGATTGCCTCCAACACTGCCACTGATCAAAGTGTAATCAGGAACGAAGCCATACAAAGTGTGTTCAAAGTCAAAGGAGTTCTGCTTCCGCTCTACGAACCCCCACACGCTCTTCCCCAACAAGTGGAGGGAGACCGTAACAAGTGCATAAATAAATGGAGAGTCTGTATCCGAGATCTCGACACTGTTCGATCCTTCTTGGGTCCACTGATCCGTTCGCACACATGGTCCACCCATGTCCACCCTCCGTTTAAGTGCCTGACAACTCTGGATGCTCGATGAACTGGGCCGTTTCGATGGTTCTCCGCAGCGAAGAGGTCCAGAGTCGCCCTGGCCTCATGACTCATCGGTCCAAAGTCTCAGTCGCCTGTCTTCTTTTCAAAAACAACACTGGTGAAGCACCTCCACCTCCTCCGAGACTCTCCCTTCCGCCCGTTTGAGGTCCGTTCGCTGCGCAGCTGAGGCCCACACACCCTTCCGGCATCTGATGTGTCTCCCGCAACCAGGACCAAGGTCACCACCTCCGAAAAAATTAGCGATTGGTGGCTCTTCCAAGGCAAACGGTTCGACGCGGGGAAAAACAGTATCAAATGTTTCTGTACCACACATGCAGGCGGGATGCGGTGTCTCAAGGTCTTGGTCTCTCGGTGTCTCGGTGATGCTGTATATGTTTGGGGGGCGTCTCGTGTAAAAAGAATGCGCCCTCTGAATGGTAGCCGTTCGCGGTGTTTTTTTGAGTTGTCAATTGCTTCGAAATAATTCTGCTTTCTATCACCGACCCCACGTCCGGCAGCTGCATGGAAGTTTTGCCTCGCCTTGGCCCCACCCAAGCGCTCCAGGAGTTCATCCATGTGGTCCGGTGCGTCTTCGAAGTCGGAGCCCCAACCCACCTGGGTGCCGCCCACCCTTGGAGTGGAGGGCGCAAGCATTGCTTGATCTTGGGCAGTTTCTCGCGTAAAATTGAGTGGATCCAAGTGATCTCAGTTCCCAGTTCTGGACTGGGCATGCCTGCCTGCACGCGCCTCAGCTGCATGTACCTGGCCCAAACAAAAAAGAAAAGGAAAAAGTAAGTAAGTAAGTAAGCAAGGAAGTAGGTAAGTGAGTTAGTATGTCAGTAAGTAGGTATGCAAGTATGTAGGTATGTAAGAAAGTAAGAAAGTAAGCAAGTAAGTAAGTGCTGCAAGACTGGAAGAATGTACAGTAAGATTGTAAGGTTGTAAGTACGTACGTACGTACGTAAGTAAGTAAGTAAGTAAGCAAGTAAGTAAGCAAGTATGTATGTATGTATGTACGTATGTGGAAGTATGTGTGTATATGTGTGTATGTATATATACACATGATATATACCGTGATATATGCGCGTGTTTGGTACCCCCAAAGGATCCTAAAGGTCTATTTTTCACGGCAAAACAGAAGGGGACACTGACGATAGGATCTAGACGTACGTACATACATTACAATACATTACAGTACATCATACCATTATATTGCATTACATTGCGCTACACCAGGCTACAACCTCCTACAACCACATGGCGGAGTTGGAGAACATGGTGGAGCTGTTGGAGGAGTTGGTGGAGCAATCCAGAGATCCTCAATTCTCCCTTCGCTTTCAGGCTTGGAGACCGCCGGAGACCATGTAAATGGAACGCGTGGCCAGTGCCTTCCTGCACCTGGGGCAGTGCCATCTACAGATGGCATTTCCCGAATCGCACACTCAGAATTCTGGGGGCGGAGTAATTCGATCCCAAACACCACTACCATCTTCCAGTGGGCAACTAAAAGACGGAGGATGCATTATTCTTATATATAGCAGGGCCGTCTCCCATTAAATAAACATTATATAGTGCGGGGAAATTTGGTGGACCCCCCGGTTACGCAGGGGTGCTCCACAGGAGCCGCTTCCACCAAGGGATGTTGATTTGAAATGAGGACGTTTTGACATCCATACGGGTCGGCCAATCCACCCACCCAACAGGCCTGCCATTTAAACGCACGGGCCCGCGCAAACACTTTAAATATACGGACGGAACAGGTATTTTATACTTCCTCCGGGGCCGATTGCTCTGGCCGGGCTACTGTATCTATTGCCCGGAAAAGTAGTCTCCGCATGTCTCCGCTAGCTGTTAGCGAGTCGTTCTTATAGAGGGGTGACTTAGGTTGCATGCTTTATTGTTACTACTAGCGTGTAGCGATGGCCTCCAACCTAATAGCGATGGCCTCCTCCTAGTAACAAGAATGCTACTAGAAAAGAGGCTTTTAGATGAGTTCAATGATGTGAAGAACATGGCTGTGACACCGAGCTTGAGAAATGACCAACTGCCTCTCCTCTTCCCCGATTCCCCGCGGCGTTTCACAAAAACAAGGATGACATCACAACCTGCTGTGCAAATATGCGTCAGGCACTGCGCAAAGCATGGCAAAATTCCGTGATGCCTCTCAGCGTGTCTAGCGTCCTGCAAGTTGTGACCAAGTCTTTGCAAATCCGCGATGTAATTAAGCACCTTGGGATCCCACATGAATGTATGCAACCTGTCCTGTAGGGGTGGCTTGGCAGAGATGCCGTGACACTCACACCAATATAGATGAAACACAACAAAGAACCCACAAATGTTCTTACAAACTGCTGGGAATATTTGAGGAGTCGCTCTACCATGTTTTTCTGTGGGTGAATGTCCAGGCTACATTCACCATTGCGACGCTGGAGTAATCACGTCTGCCACGCTGAAACTTTACTACTGCCACGCTGAAACATTCACCACTGCCACGCTGGAGTGCTCCCTTCTGCCACTGAAACTTGACTACTGCCACACTGGGACATTCACCACTGCCACGTTGGAATGCTCACTTCCGCCACACTGAAGTCTGACTACTGCAACACTGGAGTACTGATTACTGAGTACTCACTACCCCCGCACGCTGGAGTGCTCACTGAAGTGCAATGATCATTCCACAACAGGTGGTTACGTTTCAGGAGACAAGAACTTGCTCGAGCTGTCAGGCATGAGGCAACAAACACCCAAACGTGCGGAGAAAGCCTTAAGCCTTATCAGCCTTATTCCTTTTTTTTTTAAGACACCGCCGAAGGAAGTACAGTACCGTGTCCAAGTGCAAGGCACTGACACACGTCCCCTCCACACGTCGCTCATGCCACCTGTAGATCTCTGCTCCACTGCTATCGCCGAAGCCTTTCCAGTCGTCAGAGGTTACAATGCACCTGAGCCGGAACCGGTGCTCGATTTCCGGCACCCGACAACCTGATGCTATCTGACGCCTGTCCGCGTGCTCTTCGTGCTAGGCGATGGTCATGTCTTCGCTGCTTCCGAGTGGCCCCCAAAGCTCGATCAAATGTTCAGGTATCCGTCGCACCTAGAGGTCAACAAAGATCTCAGAAGCTCTCTATTTGCACTATTCTCTTACATACAAGTTGGACCCCTCCACTAATGGTCGGTCAAAACAACGATGACTTGTCTGAAAACCAGCGTCCACTCGAGGAACGCCCTGCTGGACCTAATGAAATGACCATGGTCACTTCGGGCGAGCCTCATCTGCCGAAAGTGTAACACATACCAAGTCACTGGCGTGGCCACAAACCTTGACTCCAGGCCACTGCAGCAAAGGATAGGAACGATTCAGTCAGTGATTATATTTATATTATTGTCCTACTCATGATGTCGGGGATAGATACAATCATTCTTTTAGAGCATTAAAGCCTATAGTACACTAGGTGCAAACATTGTCACAAATCCACAAGCTCCTGCTAAAGAAGCTCACACAAGTTAGTCAAACGTAAGCTGTATATTTTGACAGTCATGATATCGCTTCCGAGATGTCAAGCTACGATGATATAAATACTCACACTGGGAGCTTCAACATTCTCTGGCTGCAACTAAGTCTCAATATACTTTGCCTCGGTTGGTGCTTGTCTTTCATGAAGGCATCAACCATTGCAAGCAACAATCTAGAAGAAAAAAACACAAACAGCGAACCACAACAGCAACAGGCACACTAGCAGCAGCAGCTGCAGCTGCAGCAGCAAGAAAACCCACAACAAAGAAAACCGTAACGATACACTACAGGATTATGCTTCAAGACTTGGCTGAAATTTGCTGTCAGCATGTTGCACTGCATTTCAGGTCAGGGTCAGCAGCACAAGCGTGGAAGGCAGAAGCCACTTCTGAAACTTCAATTCATGCCGGCACTTATCTTCAGAGTGAGTTCTTCAACGCCAGGAGTTCACCGTGGGAGAACGCACCAGGACTCCAAGGCACAAACTCTGCAGTGCGACGCGCAAATTCTTCTCCTCGAGCGGAGAGACCAGAGTCGCCACCGATTCTCATCTCCACATTGAACTCACCTTATGTTCAAAAGGTGGTCGGGTGGTCGAGTGCATGTCTGGGAATGAGTTTGGCGTGTCGACACGCCATTCCTGCATCTTGGTGTTCGAGAAAAACACAAACACAGCAAATGTATCATTTTGCAATTTTGACAGCTGGGCCACTCTCCCCGTGACGGGCCAAAAAGATCTTGTGGTCGAAGGGGTGCAGGTTGGAGAGAAAGTGGCAAACTGCTGACCCGACAAATGATCGCATCATCTTGTTTACCACCTGATTTGCCCAAGCAGGTGCTGAATCGAGTCGTAACACACAACCTGCTTGCTAAAAGGCGTAGGCGATTGGTGATTGAAGTTCGCGAGTGTCCACGGCCAATGTGAGACTCACAAAGCGCTCTCTCTTCTCTCTCTCTCTCTCTCTCTCTATCGCCCAAAAATCACGCAAAGCCGCCATCTTTCTGGTATAATTCCTCGGCTTCAACAAAATTTGTTGATGCATAAGGCCCTGAAATGCGGTCAACAGCTTCAAAAGAAATCAGTTGCACTCTTCGTGGCCAGAGTTTCATCATGTGGATGAATGGGGTACCGTCTTCAGAGCCATCCATTTGGATGGGTACATAGTGGTCCTGCACTCTTGCTTAACTTGCCTGTGAATTTGTTTTACCCACACATCGTGTTGGTAGATAAATTAGATACATACAACTACAACATCAAAAAGGCACAAGCTTACAAGGCACTTTCCGATCTTTCCCTGGGTACGAGGCACTAGGCAAAGCATGCCAGGAGGATGACTTCCTTCATATTCAACCACCAGCGCCCAGGTCCGCCCCCATTCCACCCTGGACCCTGGTCAGATCGTCCTGGTAGTTCTGAATCAGCTCCTGACACTTCTCCAGCTTAATGGAGAACAGGCAAACTGCTGCTGACGGAAAAATCCAGGCTGAAACAATTGCTAAGAAAAATACTCTAGGTTCACAGTAGATGGCTTCACCACGTGTCCGAGGAATACCATCATATCTGAACCTAGTGTATTGAAAAGTGAGATCGCTTCATCCTGCCTCGCTTTGCTTGAGATCGATTCCACGCATCGACGCCAAGTCACACAAGTACTTGTCACCTAGCAGTTCAACAAGGGTGTCACCTTATCACCACTTCGCAGTCAGCACAACAGATGCGCCTTTTGGATCATCAACCGTGATCTGAATAAAGCACACCTGGCCAGCAACAGTTGGGCCATCAGAGGCTCGCAAGCTGATCAAATTAGCACCTCTGCCTTTAGTTCGTCTTCAAGTTTGCGGGCCTTGGCTCGATAACAATAAGTGCTATGCAGCACACAACTTGATCTCTCTGCCTACTGCTCCCTCCAGTGCTTCAAGACGGAGGGTCAGCATTCTCCGTGGTCACAAGGATCTTCCAATCACTGTATGGAGTATCTTAATGCGATGCAGGTGTATAGATTTACATAAATGCATGTATTATATATATATATAACGTTTTGGACTGAAGAGCTGTCTGCACATTTCAAGAGACCCAAACTCAAGGCAATGTGGAAGCGTGAAAGTTAGGGGAGATCTCTCTCCGACAGCCAATAACATCTTCTGCCGTTCAGGTTGGGGTCCAAACACCGTGTCCAAAATTTCAGCACTGTCTCCAACCCCGTAATGCTGTTGACTGTTGGTTCATAAAGACCTCCATATTAGTGATGTAAAACCTTTCTGGCAGGGGGGGTTCACAAAGCCAGTGAGTTCTACAGTCTTAAAAATACAATACCCAAAAGGGAATGCCAAGTTTGAAAAGCTCATCATGCTCATCATGCTGGCCGAGTCTCCATCCAACGGCGGTGCCACTTGGTGTGTGAACTCCACATCGATTGGGTCGACGCCACGGAATCACCACACAAGATGATGGCAAAACCCCCAGTCCCTTGAGACAGAGTCCTGAGAAATGTGGTCAAAAAAGGCACAGTTGAATCATGTTGAATCCTGAAAGTTGGTGCCAAAAGCGAAACAATGGCTGGTGAAACTTCACTTCTGGTCACTTCAAGCTGCTGGTCAAAGTCGTAGGGATCGGCGCACACCCTGACACGATCGGCAAGGGCGATGTCAGAGTAGATCGACAGGAAACAGGAAAGAGAGTAATGTGAGCGAAAGAAAATCTGCCGTGTATCCTAGTGTATTTGCCAAGTTGCGAGCTTGAAGTATCAAAGAAGCCTGATTCAAGTGCACTTGCACACACAAAGGAATCCTGAAGTTCAGGTCCGTCTTGGTAGGGTTTCAGTTTCAAGTGTCAGTGCTGTTTCAAGTGTCAGTCCTGTATCAAGTGTCAAGCACAGCAAATTAGGAGGAGGAGGGTTTTCCATGAGTGAAGTCTTGTGACTGCCAATTGAATTTCCTTTCTCGTGCCAATTCGGAATGTCTAATTAGATTTCGCGTATGAAGGATGAAGTGAGACTGTGCCTAGACCTTCGTTTCCCTTGGTTGCTGATCCTGACATGTTCTCATTCAGTTTCACTTTGACGCATTTTGAGGGCGAAGCGCAGCCCCTGGTTGAGGTCGACGCTCTAGAACCGGACGGTGCGCACACATGTGGTCTTGGGGGAGAAAGTCGCGAGTGTGCTTGTGTATCACAAAACATTTCACACCTCTTCCCCTAAGGCCCTAAGACCCTTCGATTGACTGAAACTTCTTCAGCAACGAGACGTTCCAGGACACACAATGGCACCAAAGAATCATCACAAATGACCCTGTTTAGTGTGAGATAGGTCTGCCAGCTTACCTGGGAGTCTACACCAGCGTATTTCGCAGGCCTCAAGCCCAAACCCACCAATCAACTTCCTCCATGCCACGATTCAGGTCCGCATAGAGCCGATCGTCGCCACCGGGGCCTTGATACCTGGGCGACAGGGCCACGACTCGAGAGGAACTGGGCCTCGTCTGTTTGGCCCGCACTGACTCGTGTTTGTGTGGTGCCGAGGTCTACAGCTCTGTTCTCTGGTGCCACCCTTTGAAAGAAACAGTTTTTTTAAAGGAAAAATACCTCAGCCATGCCTAAGCCTGGCCTAACCACACTGACGTGCGCCTGAAAAGAGGGAGAGGGAGAGAGAGGGGGGAGAGAGAGAGAGAGGGGGGCTGCGTGATGCTGCGTGCTGCTCAAAACCACAAGTAGTCTATATGTATATGGTGGTGGTGGTGGTATAAATATATATATATATACACACACACATCTTTTATGCAATTTGCCTTGCATGGTCTGCTGCACACACACACACAGCATCCCTTGGTACCACTGTACCTGACTGCATCAATACAAGACTCATCGGAAGACACTTCTTCCAAGGCAAGGTGCTCACTCACATGAAAAATCTCGGCTCGTGAGCCGTGAAAGAACTCAATGTATCGCTTCAGTTCCCTTGCCGTGTGCGACTTGCCTCGCATCCTCAGCCAAGTTTTTGGTTCAGTTCATCAGAACTGATGCACTTGAGACGTTCAAATTGCAAAAACAATGTATTGCATAAGGCGTGTCCCCCCAAAAAGTGTGAAACTCCGACACTGAATCCCAAAATTGCAGGCCACCTGTGACTTCGTCGCATACTGTCACAAGGGTAGAGGTTGTCCATGGTTGTCCCCAGTGCATTCATAGGCTAGGGTCGGTAGGCCAAGGATTGGCGCCACATGCCGTTGTGACCATTGCTGCCTGGACGGACGCTGGACCCAACAAGATAGGGGCCTGGCGGCCTGACATGACAGGAATACTTTGGGGCTGCTTCGGAAACACGGCAAGTCGACATCCAGTTCTTTTTGTTGAAGCTTGGCCACAATAGCCTCCTGGCGAGGCTAACGCAACACTTTGAGATGCAGTTCTGTGTGCGCAGCTTTTTTGAGCATCTGCGTCCACCAAATCCAGGTCTGGATAGTGCGCAGTAAAGTTAAGCTGCAATCACTTGATCAAGCTACCGCCGGACCTGTGCGGCGACGGCGGATGCACAAGATTATGAATGAGATTTTGCCGTGCGCTCTCTTTCAACAACAAAGCTTTGAAGCGATCCCTGTGCCGGGGCACTGTGCAGCAAAGTCCACAAGCTGGTGGTGGTCGAAGTACCCAATCGAAGTGTTCGACGCCTCCAAAGGCCACACAAGTTCGACGTCTCTGCTCGCACAGGGCCTAACGGGCGTAATCATTTCACCCAAGAGATCCTAAGATTTCAAATCATCAGCACAGTGGATTCAGCTTGCTCATCATCTAAACCATGACCATCATAGACCATTTGAAGCAAAAGCAACGTGGAGCTAGCCAGTGGCTCGAGCAGGCTCGCACCTGCTCGAAGCCCTCCAGCCCGCGGAAAGCAGCTGCCACGGCCTCCGCCTCCAAAGGAAAGGGGTGTGCGTACCATGAATGATGTCCTTTTGGGAAGAATAGAGGGTCGGTTTGGTACCATACACCCATTGGTTTCACACTTGGGGGTATCTCCTTTACATATTGACCAACCAACCAACCAACCAACGCTAATAAAGGGCAATCTATGGTGCGTACGGTGTGCGACCGGGCGTCCCTCGCGCATGGAGTTCTGTGATCGCCAGAACTCCGTGATCGCTCTTTGCCCGCCTTTTAGGCCCCGGTAAACTTCGCCCGGGTCGTTTCGTCCAAAACCCTGAAACCTCACCTGGTCGCTGAGCTTACTGTTGGCGGTGGACGCCACAAGCTCTTCCAAAAGCAGATCGCAGGGGCGGCATTCGCCTCAGAAATTGGAAGCCGACAAAGGGCATCGCTACTAGGAGCAAGGACGCTACTAGTAGCTCCTGGCCTTACTACTAGGAACGAGAAGCTACTAGGAGCAAGGGCATCACTACTAGTAACAAAGGGCCTTACTACTAGTAGCATTCTTTAGGCTCTTGATTGATAAGAGTTATATAATATATACGTCTACCCAGTTTGGGGGCTACAGGCTCAGGAGCCCGATGCTCCGCCAGGTCACTGGACCAGTCCTGCTGATTGCGCCACCACTTCCTGGGTCTGGGTCGGCGTATGAGCAGACCCCAAAATCCAGGGAACCTTCTGAGCGTTCCCTTTTCATACAGGAGAGGTGGAAGAAATGACGTGTTCTATCATGTTCTATCTACAATTCAGGGCTATGCCTGGCAAGTTCTTGACCAAGCCCATCAAATCAACAAGTCTTGACTGAATTCATCTGAGTCTGCGGGGGCGACATCACAGCTATGTAAATGTCGAAGTGAGCCGGATCGAGATGTGACTTTCTCTGGCTGGAATCAGTCTCGCTACCTACACTCCTGAAAACCAACACGGACCCCTCACCCCCTGCTTGTCCATGTCTTCCAAATCTTCCAGGTGTCTACGGTGTCTACTTTATATTCTGGTGCTGTATCACAGCCAAAAATATGCGCGATTAGCAGGATGTCCACATACCTACAAACAGGACAAAAGATACAAAAAAATACAAATGTTAAATGTTGAAATGTCTTCGTTTCACAGTTCCGCTGCCCACTCTTCCGGGTCGCTCAAGCTCGGCCTAGCTTCATCAGCCGCATCGTCACCTTTGTCGCGGGTGACATCTTGGCGAAGAGCCGGGCACGGCGCTCCGCGGCCAAGGCACTCGGGCCCGAGACGGAATCCAAGGAGAGCGAGACAGTGGCACCTGGATCATGTGGATCGACTGTATCGAGGCGAGCGAAGCGACTCAGGATCCAAGCCCTGAGAAAAACGGATGTCAAGTCTTCACGGTGTTTGCCATCCCTGTGAGTATCTCTCCCTCCGTATGCTGGAATGGTCGGGTGTTGGCCATCCAAGAGGAAAAGTACGGAAGATTGATTCGCAAGACAAATTGGACAGCTTTGAACACGACCAAAGGCCTGGAAAAGCAACACGGACTGCATCCTCAACCACCTCAGATGCTCAGTGATGCTATGTGATGCTTCTGCAGACTCTCCGCTCCAGCTGAGCCCTGCACGGAGACGTGTGCCTTGGATTTGAGGTCCTGAGAAGAAGGCCGATGGGTCGCGCCGTTGGGTAGGCAACCAATTTGTGTATAACATCTGCGTGGCTAAAACGGTCTGATAGTTGCCACGGCAACTCGCACTGGACCGGACCCCTCGGCTGATCTCACGAATGCTGACAGTAGAAATATGCAAAAATAAGCGGATTCGAGAGCCAAAGCCAAGGGTGGTTTCCTGTCAAGGCTATTCCAGGGTGGTTTCCTGTAAAGCTGCGCTGCCGGGCGCAGCCTTGAGCAAGTTCAGAGACTTGTTTCTCGGAGCCGGAGGAGGCAAAGACTGCATCGCTGGCCACTGATGGTTGTGCTTTGGCATCACGCCAGTAGTACGTATGTACAAGGAAAAAGGGGCCTAGCTACATCCGGGTTGGGCCAACAAGTGATTGAACTGAACAGCAGTCTAGCTACTTGGCAGACCTTGGACCAGCACTTTACGGAGCCAGCTTCATGAGCTTGGGAACTGACATCTCAACCAAATGCTGCTGGCCTTGCCCCAGAAATGAGTTTACAAACAATTCTGCTCGCCTGAGTTTTACTCAGGCTCAGCTGCTGAACAGTTCGGCCGAAGCTACAGTGAGTCTCCGGCAAGCCTGTTGCAGCTGGGCCAGGTGATCAACCCCAAGGCCGACACCTCGGGGGTGAAGGAGAATATATAAACAATTTTGGGTTGAACACCTGCCGGCCGGAAGACGAAAACCGGGTGCCTCGCAGAAACATGAAGTGAAAAGTCAAGCTTTGCTTGGAGCTTCCCCAAGCTGCTGTTTGCACAAAGGGCATGTTTGGCTCTTTGTCACGAGCCACTTTGTGACACATGGCCTGTGAAAGGCGTGCCCGCAGTTTAGCCTGACCACTTGCTCATCCATATCATCTAAGCAAATGGAGCATTGGCCTCCACCAGCAACCTCCACATGCTCCAGGAGCACCTCCACTTTCTTCAACATGCTGTTCTCCTTCTTCCGCTGAAGGTTTCCCCAATAGCTTGACCTCTGCGAGCGAGTCAAAACTGAAGAGATTCGCATCCTTGATGACGCAGCGCCGCGGCACTGCCCCCACCCACCCCCATCAGCACCGGAAATTGTGCAGGCTTTGCGCACAAAAGTGATACTTCAAACTGACAACTATCAACATATCATATATGCGCTCACACTATCATATATGTGTCTTTCTTCGCGGATCTTAGCGGGAGCATCGATGACTGTCAATAGGTGCCATCTGGTTTAGCAACTGAGGTTCAGCTTTTACAATTCAGTAACTAGGAAACTAGCCCCTGTGGGGGGAGGGTGAAGTAGGAGGCTACTCGGATGCAGATCCCCTCACAGCTTCCAAACTATAGGTCCCCCAAGGCATGTTTGAAATGAACATTATTTCATTACAGTAACGAGAATCTCCAAAAACAGTGCTGAACGCAACTCATTCATGATGTTCTCGCTTTTCTCGTGGCCGTTCACCGCCAAAATGGCTCTTCCTGCATGTAATGGACTGTCTGGATTCTCCCGGTTCCATTGCTCAATGGCTGGAGATACCTTGCCGCCACAGAAGTTGAATCACATGGAATACAGTAAACATGTCAAGTGTTCAAGCACAAAAGTGTGAGAGGGCCTTGGTCTCGAACAGCTCCAAAACGATCCAACATGATGACTCAAAGGGCACTTTTTGCGCAATGTCTGGCAATGAACGTGTATAACATGACATAGTATATATATATATATATTATATTACTATGTATGTACAGGGAGCTTCTTGTCATTTGCCACACTTCATGCTGCTGAAACCCATCAAAGGGACTGTGACAACTGACTGGATGAACACGCCGTCCTTGGATTTCCCAATCTCAAGTCCCCAGGATTCTTCTGTAGATTCTCGTTGCAGCACCACCGCCTTCACTCTCCCAACGGCCAGTCGTTGGCCGAAGAAAGGGCAGCACGCCATGAGAAGAAGGGGCAAGGCCGCTTAAACTTTTTAAACAGTTCGGGTTGCCCCTGGCTTGCCTTGGCCTCGAATTTAATAGGGCGCAACTCCAAATACAAACAATTTGAATCAACTGAGGGCCAAAGAGCTGAAGGCGGAACCACCATGTTGCGACACAAAATCACAGGAACCCCAGTGCCCAAGTCACAACACTCGTATAGTCACACGTTGTGGTCCTAGCAGTGGTAGTTATACTTGTCCCTTTGGATGGGGGGGAAGTATGAATGTGCTTCGGTGCCAACACTGCAAAGAGCGAGTGCTGGCTACTCACGGTTTCCGCAAGAAGCTTCGAAGAGTTAACAGATTGGGCGGGTTGCTTTCCAAGCCAGGACTTGACACCATTCTTGCCGCTACTTTTTACGGGCTTCTTTATGATGGAATTCCATGGGGCGACACACTAAGCACGCGTTCGCTCCAGAGGATGGGCTCTGAGTGGGCCGGGGCACATCGACTGCATGCGCAAATACAGTCAGTAAAAGCTCGAACGCACCTGAAACTGGTGGGCCACGCGTTGTTGCAACAGGAGTGGTACGTGGATATGGCGGCAGCAGCAGCAGCAGCAGTTTGTAGGAGTCGTCGCAGCAGAAGGGGGGTAGTAGCAGCGGTCGTACTATCAGGACCAACAGCAGCCTTGAGCTGGAGCAGGTAACAAATCTACTCCCTAATGGACGTGAAAAAGGGAGAGATTAACAAAAGGTGTTACTGCTAGGCTATATCTCTG